GATGGTCTCATCTCGCCTTCTCTTGGACGGCAATCGCCAATCGTTTCGTTTCAGCAAGGTAAGAACTCCAACTACAAATTATAACTTAACTATTTTATCAATATTGACATGTACCCACTATCAAGTGAGGTGGTTCCCCACACTGGGAAGGCGTTCCAGACACGAAAGTGAACACGTCTACGTTGCTTGACGTATAAGAACCAACTCGCTGAAGAACTTTTATGTATCTAGCATTCCCACGCTTGATCAGACAATAAAAATCGACTCCTTTATTATGGCTTCAATCTGACCTCAACGGTCAACCTTAGGAAGTCGGAACAGAGATAAACTTCCTCTAAAAGTAATAGCCTGCTAAACTATTATTTAATAATTTGTTGATTTTTTTAGCAACATATCAACCTCTATGGATTAATACCAAAATCTAAATATTTTGAACGCAATTATACGGCTTCTGCTAAATATATTTTGAACGTAACTGTATGTCTTTAACTACAGATAAGTGGTATTGTTGACTATTCTACTATAAGATTTTTGGTAATTTTACTATAAATTGTTATTATTGGTAGTTTTTTAAATATATAAAAATCTACTGCCAGTAATTTCATTGTAAAAACGTGTTTTTTTACTTTCATAATGTTTTGTGAGATGCTAACAAGGGCTACCACCCCGGGTCAGTGTGGACCATCATAAATTAAGAGGTGGTTTCACGTCCCTCAAAACCCCTAATCTTCTGATCAGGGGCCTTGCTGCTGGATGCAGTTCATCGTCATACCCAGGACAGTCCAATTCAGAGTTTATATATTGGGCTATTCCTCTTACTGGCAACCATATATCACGGATTCTTATAATTGATCGTCAGTCCTGAGGTTAAGTCAATCACGTCAACTCACTATGTTAACGCTTCTTTAAAATAAGACGTATCACAATCGAAAGTGAAGTGATACGATCGTTATATCACACTTGCTAGGTTTGCTTTATCAGCTTTCACAGATTATAAGCAAATCGATAAACTGTCAATAATTATAAAACCGATGGTTCGAAAATTCACCAAATTTCGACCAAGCATACATTTTATGTTTATCAGAAAATGTAAGATCTTATGTAAATATAATTTTGGAATGTCATAAATATTATTAAAATGTTTTAAATATTATAAGTGAAACAATAAAATTTAGCAATGGAAAACTTAAGGAGGTTCAAAGAATTCGATTAAGAATGCATTTCGTGTTTATACGGAAGTTCTGGCATCTTACATTGGGAGTCTGCGTTTTCTTTATACTAATATGCGAGGATGGGCTGAAAAGTTCATAGGCTGACTATGAAGGAATGGCGGTACAGCTGTGAAATTTTGCATGCATTTATATTAGCTCTTCTTATTAATAACTGTATTTTTTCTTTCCAAGTACAATGATGGGCTGAAAATTTCAAACGCTGCCTATGAAGAAGTAATGCCTAGAGCTGTGAAACCTTGCATTCATTAATTTCAACTTTTCTTATTAATGACTACATTGTTTCTTTCCGGATCAGTGGATGGGCTGAAATGTTCATAGGCTGACTATGAAGGATTGATGCTATTCTTGTGAAACTTTTATGCATTAATTTCAACTTTTCTTATTAATAACGGCTTTGTGTCTCTCCAGAACGGAGGATTATCTGAAAAGTTCATAGGCTGACTATGAATGTTTGATGCTAGAGTAATGACATTTTGCATGCATTAATTTCAACTCTTCTTAGTAATAAATACTTTGTTACTTTCCAGATCTGATGATGAACTGAGCAGTTCATAGACTATCAAAGAGGGATGTTAAAGCTGTGAAATTTTGCATGAATAATTTTAAGCCTTCTTATTAAAACTATTTTTTCCAAGCATGAAAACTGGCTGAAAACTGGGCTGAAAAATGAGCTGAAAACTTCAAACGCTGCTTATGAACAAATAATGCCTAGAACTGTGAAAACTTGCATGCATTATTTTCACCTCTTATTAAAAATTGCTTTATTTCTTTCCTGACCGAGGATGGGATAAAATGTTCATAGGCTGACAATTAAGGATTGATGCTAGAACTGTGAAATTTGGCGTGCATTAATTTCAACTCTTCTTCTTAATAACTGCGTTATTGCTTTCCGGATCCGAGGATGGGCTGAAAAGTCCATAGGCTGGCTAAGAAGTTGAAACTAGCACATGCCAGAATTCACATCTCTAGCATCCCTCTTTGATAGCCTATGAACTTTTCAGCTCATCCTCGGATCTGAAAAGAAACGACGCAGTTATTAAGAAGATTTGAAGTTAATGCATGCAAGATTTCACATCTTGTATGCATTCCTGTCTAGCATCCTTTTTTGATAGCCTATCAACTTTTCAGCCCGTCTTGATGGCTTTCATCGTCTTATTTGAGATGAAATGACTAAAAATAGATATGTAAAGAAATACTTCAGACAGATATCCATCTGTGTGTCTTTCCTTTTGACCAAAATATTACCGTTGCAGAATACGGAAAGCAAAAAAAAAAAAACAAGTTTGGTTGAATAAGCCAATAGAAAGGAATATAATTTACATTTATTATCAAGATTTTAAACTGCATACTATCCATAAAAGAAC